CGCCCGCCTCCGGGCCTGGCCCGGCCGACGCAGGTGGCCCTGGCCATTCCCCTCTAGGTGGTGTTCCGGCGCGGGATGGCACGCCTCCAAGAGGTGTCCCTAGGCGGCGGCATTCCGACGCGGCGGTGGTGTGCCTTGGCGGCGCGCAGGAGATCAGCTGCGGCGGCGTTGCCATTGGTGGCGAGGTGGCGCGGCGACGGGGTCTGGCGGCGCCCGCTCGGCCCAAATCTGGGCCCCTTGGGAATTTGTTTCTTCTTCTTTCTTTCTTTTTTCATTTGGGCTTGTTGTGCTGCTCGCTCTAGGATTTGCGATGTTATCAGTGTTGGTTGCTTTGTAATACAAAGAGGGGGAAATCCTGTTTTGGTAAATAAATTTTTTCCAATTTATTTAATTATTGTGAACATTTCCTCCAAAAGGAATTACTTTTTCACCCCCCCTTCCTGCTAAACACCCTTCCTAGCTGACTGAGCCGGAGTCAACATGGATTTTAGATTTATACATGCTCAATTATAAAGTTTGAAACTTGCATACTCCATATGATACTCCAACAAGGAGCAACAGCAAAGACAATCACACGGATTGACTTATGCACAGCACCAAAACAAATTCTTCATTCGTACCAGCTACTACTAGCTTGCACTTACGTAAACCAGGTCCAAGTTGACAGCTAAGACGTCACATTTAACAAAAATATAAGGCAACACTTTAAATCTGAGACGCAAAAGCAATGTCCAAGTGCATAGCTTTTACATCATGTTGCCACGATCCTAACAAGTAGTCATGCCATCACGACGGCATCGAGAGGATCAACAATCAGCCAGATCATGTCATCATGACGGCAGAACAACATCACGATCTTCGAGCGCCGCGCCTCCCGCTCATCCCTTCCCCAACCTTTGCTGGAGGGCGTGACTAGGTGAAGCGTGCCAGTGGCGGCGGCAACAGGGCTCGTTCGCCCCCTTGCATGTGGATCCGATGTAGGACGGATCCGACAGGTAAAGGCGTCGCGATGCAGGGTTGTTTAATTTACACAATTGAATCTTTATGCTTATCGTTTGAACAAAAACAACATGATTTTGTTGGACCTACTCTGATGTGGACAAAACCCTCGACGAATTGTTCGGTAAAGTGAAAGATGCTGAGATCACCCCATCTCAAGATCGAAATGTGAGATCGAGACTGGCATAGATCGACCGTCTCACCAACCCATCCCAACAGTATTTATGTTTCGAGACAAGAGTATAACCTAATAGTTTTAAAGTGAAGGTCACATGAGGTTTCTGTGACATGTAGTTCATAACTGGACAAATTTTTGCTGCTTTGACTAACAGTTGACCAAGGCACAAATTTTTGACATATCCCAACATAAGTGTAGATCCACGATGAAACAACACCTTCCTAATTGGCTACAGGTGGTTGGCAGACCGGGGTTGCGGCGGAGGGGTTGAAGCACCTCGGTACCCAGTCCGTGCACACTGGTTGACGGTGAAGGCGTCTGCGGACGTCGTGTTCCTCCAACGCCTTCTGTCTTACTCCGGGTGAAAACTTGATCTTCGGATCGAACAGTGGCGACGTTCGTGGTCGTGCCCTTCCTGGAGGCATTGTCTTGGAGTCCTCGGTCTGGCATATCCGTCACACATCTTCCAAAATGATCGCTCCTCGTGCTAGTGGTCTCCGTCGGCTCTAAACAGATCTCTTTTTTGCACATCTTATAGGTGTTTGGTAGTCGTTGAGGTTGTGTGACGGTGCCCTGCATTCGTGTATCTTGTCTTGGGGTGTGTGTGGCGTCCGTTTGTATCAGTTTCTTAAATGTATGTGATGATTGTTTTACACTATAAGGCCTCCTTTGGTTTAGAGGAATTTCATAGGAATTTTAGAGGATAGGATTCTTGTAGGATTTTTTCCTTTAGAGCCCTTTGGTTCATAGGAATGGATTCCTATTTCTACATAGGATTGGTTCCTATCCTCCACATTTCATAGGAAAATAAAAAAGATCCTAGACTCAATGGAAAAATTTCTTTGGTGTCAACCAAATGACATCTTGTTTCCTATTCCTACTCATAGGATTTGAGATACATGTCATCTCATTTCCTACAAGATTTCTATTCCTATGATAATCCTATCCTATGAACCAAAAGAGGCCTAAACAGGAAAACTCTTTTTCATTCATTAATTGGCTTCCTCAAATAGCGACGACTATACAAATATCAATGACGAGAACGTTACAGGGAAGGGCGCCGGATCGCCCCTTCACAATTATCCGATTTGGTTGTTTTTCACCACGATGTAACTTTTTACAAACAAATTTTAGTATTCCCATCATCTCAAAATATATTTACAATGTAGAAAATTCCCTCCAAAAATAATTACTTTAAAAAAATTACTTTCCCACCACTAATTTAGGTGTGATGTGTTGTTTACGCCAATATTTTTAACCTCCCACTAAAAGGTCCCAAATTAGGGTCTTTGTTCCCACCAAAAAAATAGCATATATTTAACCTTCCCGCTAGTTAACTTCCACGGCGTCTTCACGGGCGATTGGATCTGACCTCTCGTCCCCGGTTCCTCTGTGCTGCCGGCGTCAACACATCGCACCACAGTTGAGTCAGGTTATTCCTCCCGATCTCCTCCCTTCCTATAACCTCCAGTCCTCCCCGATCTCGACCTCCTCGCTATCCTCTGTGCCCGCCGACGTGGGCCGCGTCTCCGTATCCTTGGCCATGCCGGCGGCGGCAGCGATGCGGTCTGGCGACGGCACCGACGGAGTTCTCCTTGCCCATCAATCTTGTGTCTGGACCAAGCACGACACCACCTCGGTGTTGAACGCCGTGATAATGCCTGCTCGGGCTCAAATCCCCCTCCCCCACGAGCTCCCCCTCGACGCGCCGCCACCCATGCTCAGACCTCGCCTCCGCCCATGCCCCCGCCCTCTCCCCTCCCCTCTCCTCCCCAAAAGAAAAGAGAAGAGCAGAGACGCAGGAAGATCGAACCACCAGATCGAGTGGCGGCCAGATCCATCTGCCACGGTCGCCCAGGGCTCGCGCGCCTCCGACGACGCGGCCGTGCCCGTGTGTCAAGGGCCTAGTCGGAGATGCTTCTGCTCCGCCATGGCCATGGAGCTTCCTCCCAATCCAAGGTCTTGGACTGGACGGGGACGGCTGCTCTTCCAAGGTCTCGTCTCTTCTCTTCCGATCCATCCATCCCACACCCCATTCTATTCAAGGTTTTGGTTACCGAATGAGGCAATTTTACCGAGGGGGACGGGTAAATGTGGTTACCACGGTTACCGACAAATATCGAGAAATACCGAGAATATTTCGAGCGAATTTTATAGTTGAATTTTGAATTCAAATAAGTGAATGAACGAATATTCGAACCAGAGACCTCTCAAAACAGGAACTAGGTTGCTACGAACATGCCAGAACCAACTCTAATGGCATTAATTATATCCTACGTACTTTACTGTAAATCGAGTGTTTAAATTCAAAAATTTTAAAAAACTGGTATTTTTTGCTCGGTACGGCGATTTACCGAGGGGCACGGAAATACGCGGTAACCATGGGAAATCTTGAAATTTCGACTGGTAACCAAAACCTTGATTCTATTTGCATATGTGTAGATACATATTCAGATCAAACTGAACCCCAAACCATGGGCACTACTTCAAGAAATATAGTCCAGTAGGACCACGGAGGTGTGTCCCGGTAGAGTAAAAAAATATCCTCTGCCTTATGCCCTATGTGTTAGTTATTTACATACGTACGAGGAATCTCTGATTCATACCCTAGATTGCATAGATGCTGTTAGTATGATTCAGTCTCTCCAGCTTTTTTATGTCAACTAGGAACGTCTGCAGTCATTTGAAAAGCTAATCTTGATAACCATGTACTATCTCATCATACTCTTCCTTCAAAGGGATAAATAGTGCCTTTCACAGTATATTCTCCTGGATAGTTCTGTCCTATTTCTAACATTTGAATATGGTAGATTGACCTCGGAATCAAATTAAGGTTTCTAGACCCTTTCGCAGAGTTGCTCCATCATCCATCTGCATGTTTTTATATAGGTTGCCATGTTGCTACAAGTTAGTAATTTAATGAAATCACCCCACTGTTCCATTAGTTACTGCCTAAGAGATTGTTGCTTTGTACCATCTGAACCTGACTAGAAATAGTTATTTTCGAAGTTGGCCCTTTGCTGGAGTTTGATAGCATATTACATTAATACAATTTATTTGCCTCATGGAGAGAATATGATCCTGTTATTCACCTGAATATCATTTGTACCAGCTGATTTTAGGACAATGTATTCAATCATCATGGCTGGTTTCCTTTCCCCTTGGCAATTGCTTAAACAGAACAACTGAACAAGACTGATTTTATTTGATGCATTATATACATATATACATACTCCTAAAACCAAGCATGTTGAGACTTTTTAAATATACACAAGAAAATGCATTGTGGGCATTGCGGCATCTAGCTTAGAAAGTGTCATGGTGGCAACTTTTGCCGAACATAAACCAACAATTTAGTAGTCAAGGAACCATCCTTTTTCCTTATGCATGGAAGAAATAGATCATCTTTTGCTGTACCGCACTATTTGGGTGCACACTCAGTACAATATCTTTAGCTTCTTCAATATGTTCAGGAATTAATCTTTCTCCAATATCTTCAGCTTCTCAATTTTGTAGAATTTTAACAAAAGAATGCTTGGATAAATCTCTACCATTAAGAGAATAGTGACCTTGGAACATAACTGGTTGTACCAAGAAAGTTTAAGAGGGATATGTATGATCATTTCTAATTAGCTCTACTTCAGATTTCACTTTACCATGGTCTGTAAGCATAGGAGCCTGGCAGTTTTCAAACAGACGGATAAATAGTTCATACTTTTATTTTTTTTGTTAAACTGATTTGATTTTATGCCTGCTTTACGTATTGCGTTTTTTCTTAAATTGACTCAAAATTTAATGGCTGCTTTACTTACACAAGGGCACAATGATGAATTTTAAGGACGATGCTCCTGGTACACAACATCCTTACTTCATAATCACCTATCTGAACGGTGCACAACATCAATGCTTTGTTAATGCTAAGTCTCATGATTGTTTTTGTGTGCAGGAAAGAAAGACTTTGTTCTCTTAACAAGGATGGAAAGTATAACATCATACAAAAACCAACGTGGACAACCCACATCTGGTAAATTGTTTAGCATTTGCTATAATGCATAGAATCTTGGTGTGGGTTAAATTGCTTTAGACATTTACACTTGTATAATTGTTCTGTATGCACGAGCAGGATGTCATGAGCATGGGCGTGATGCCTTCACTGCTGACTCCATTGCAATGTCCCATGCAATATCTCTTGCCACTGATATGTGGGTCGTGAGGGTCGTTTTTTAAATGGACTAGCAACTCCTGGTGGAAGCACTGAATATCAATAAGGTGGACTCGTCGGCCTATGCTGCTGTTATTGAGGATACCAAGTACCAACTCAAATTATGGTTTTCTTATTATGAAATAAATGCATGTCGTTGCTTGGCAAACTCTGTTGCTCATGAGCTTACTAGTCTTGGCAGGATGTGCGGACCTAACAACTATGAGGAATGGGAGGCCGGTGTACCGGCCCTTGTGGCTGCCTGTGCTTTGGGTGATTCAGCCCAGCAGCGTTAAGTTATAAAGCAATGTTTTTTCTCAAAGGAGAAGCTTTTAGTAGATGTACTTGTGCTTATGCTTTACACATTTACACTTTTATAATTATTCTGATCCCTGAATTACATGCTTGATGACACGGTATTAGTCCAGTTAGTTTAGTGATAGTTGTTGTATGTTATGTTCAACTCATTAACTAGATTTTTTTTATTTCTTGATTGCAGGATCCAAAGAACTAGCTGGACTGGACTCTAGATCACGGACAGTTTAGTCTTCGCGGTTAATTAGGATGGCTAAATTACATTTGAGTTTCATTTGATTGATATTTGCTATGAGAATTATGATTTTACATATTATATGTATGGTTTTGAATATTGTAATTGAAAGCTGTATTTTTTTACGGTTGCAATAGGCTGTTACCAGAACACACTTTCGGTTGCCACATGCTAGCACCACTACAAATATAGTGTTGCATCATATCTCAGTCGCTATGCCTACCTGTTTTGTTGCACAAGGATGCTGCAACAGAGAACTTTATATTATCGCAATAGTTTGGCACCACTATTTTTTGCGCGATGCAATAACTGTTTGGCGCCACCAAAGTAAGTTTTATTGAAATAGAGTATTGCCACGAAAATTTTAAATTGTCGCAATAGTTTCTTGCTACAAAGATTTTACCTGTTGTGATACCTATTTATCACCACCAAAACAAGTATGTTGCAGTTTCCTGTTATGACGACTAGAATATTTGTTGCGATAAGTTAATGCCACAAGTGCAGTGGGTCGTGGCAACATGTCTAATGCCAGGAAAACAAGGATTGTTGCCATAGTTTATTGCCACAAGTGTGGTGGGTCGTGGCAACATGCCAAATGCCACAAAAACAAGGATTGTGGTCATAGTTTATTGCCAGCATTGACTATTACCACAGAAGAGTAGTGCGCCACGAAAGGGCCGTCGTTGCCATAGATTGTTGCCACAAGTGTCTATCACTACGAGATATCGGTTGCCACGATTCGTTACATGTTGCATTAAAGCTATCTCCACAAACCAAATTGTGGCATTAGGTGAGTGTTGCCACGGGAAAACATGTGGAAACTTCCCGCATGGATGTTGCAATAGCACGCTTTATTGCCACAATTGCATTTTCGTGGTAATAACCTATTACCATGTGTCCAGTCGCAACGGCTGCCAACGAATGTCGTTTCGTGGCAATAGGTACTTATCGCCACGAAACATCATGTATTGCAACAAACGATTTTGTTGCAATAGACCCGGATCCTTGTAGTGTATGAATCTTATTCTGCTTGATTGACGGTAGCATTATAAGATGATCTCTCACTAAATTTCAAGGTACAAGTGTTCTCCCTGAGTATGCACCGTTGCCAAAGTTCGTCGTGCCGAGACACCACGTGATGATCGGGTGTGATAAGCTCTACGTTCACATACAATGGGTGCAAGCCAGTTTTGCACGCGCAAAAATACTCGGGTTAAACTTGACGAGCCTAGCATATGAAGATATGGCCTCGGAACACTGAGATCGAAAGGTCGAGCGTGAATCATATAGTAGATATGATCAACATAGTGATGTTCACCATTGAAAACTACTCCATCTCACGTGATGATCGGACATGGTTTAGTTGATTTGGATCATGTGATCATTTAGATGACTAGAGGGATGTCTATCTAAGTGGGAGTTCTTAAGTAATATGATCAATTGAACTTTAATTTATCATGAACTTAGTCCTGATAGTATTTGCATAACTATGTTGTAGATCAATAGCTCGCGATGTAGCTCCCCGTTTGTTTTTGATATGTTCCTAGAGAAAAATTATGTCGAAAGATGATAGTAGCAATGATGCGGACTAGGTCCGTGATCTGAGGATTATCCTCATTACTGCACAGAAGAATTATGTCCTTGATGCACTGCTAGGTGACGGACCTATTGTAGGAGCAGATATAGACGTTATGAACATTTGGTAAAGCTCGGTATGATGACTACTTGATAGTTTAGTGCACCATGCTTTATGGCTTAGAACCGGGACTTCAAAAAGGTTTTGAACACCACAGAGCATATAAGATGTTCTAAGAGTTGAAATTGGTATTTCATACTCATGCCCGTGTCGAGAGGTAGAAGACCTCTGACAGTACTTTGCCTACAAGATGGAGGAGAATAGCTCAACTAGTGAGCATGTGCTCAGATTGTCTGGGTACTACAATTGCTTAAATCAAGTGGGGGTTAATCTTCTAGATTAGATAGTAATTGACAAATTTAGTGATGAACTGTAATATGGAAGGGATAACGAAAGTAATTCCCAAGCTCTTCGCGATGCGGAAATTGGCGAAGGTAGAAATCAAGAAATAGCATCAAGTGTTGATGGTTAACAAGACCACTAGTTTCAAGAAAACGGGCAAAGGGAAAGAAGGAGGAACTTCAAAGAAGAATAGCAAGCAAGTTGCTGCTCCCATGAAGAAGCGCAAAGCTAGACCCAAGCCTGGAACTGAGTGGTTCTACTACAAAGGAAATGGTCAATGGAAGTGGAACTGCCCTAGATACTTGGCGGATAAGAAGGATGGAAAAGTGAACAAAAGTATATATTTGATATACATGTTATTGATGTGTACTTTACTAGTGTTTATAACAACACATCGGTATTTGATACTAGTTCATTTACTAAGAGTAGTAACTCGAAACGAGAGTTGCAAAACAAACAGAGACTAGTTAAGGGCGAGGTGATGATGTGAGTTGAAAGTGATTCGAAGGTTGATAAGATCACCATCGCACACACCCTTTACCTTCGGGATTAGTGTTGAACCTAAAATAAATGTTGTTTGGTGTTTGCGTAGAGCATAATATGATTGGATCATGTTTATTGCAATACAATTATTCATTTAAGTCAATGGTAATTGATATTTTGTTTACATGAATAAAACCTTCTGAGGTCATACACCCAAGGTGAATGCTTTATTGAATGTCGATCGTAGTAATACACATATTCATAATATTGAAGCGAAAAGATGCGAAGTTAATAAGAATAGTGCAACTTATATGTGGCACTGTCGTTTAGGTCATATTGGTGTAAAGCGCATGAAGAAACTCCATGCTGATGGGCTTTTGGAATCACTTAGTTATGAATCATTTGATGCTTGCAAACCATGCCTCGTGGGCATGATGACTAAAACTCCTTTCTCCGGAACAATGGAGCAAGCAACTGACTTATTAGAAATAATACATAATGATGTATGCAATCCGATGAGTGTTGAGGCTCGCGGCATGTATCATTATTTTCTGATCTTCACAGATGATTTGAGCAGATACGGGTATATCTACTTGATGAAACATAAGTCTGAAACATTTGAAAAGTTCAAAGAATTTCAGAGTGAAGTAGAAAATCATCGTAACAAGAAAATAAAGTTTCTACGATCTAATCGCAGAGACGAATATTTGAGTTACGAGTTTGGTCTTCAATTAAAACAATGTGGAATAGTTTCACAAATTCGTGTCACCTGGAACACCACAGCATAATGGTGTGTCCGAACATCATAACCGTACTTTATTGGATATAGTGCAATCTATGATTTCTCTTACCGATTTACCACTATCGTTTGTGGGGTTATGCATTAGAGACAGGTACATTCACGTTAAAAAAAAGGGCATCATCTAAATCCATTGAGACGACACTGTATGAACTATGGTTTAGTATGAAACCAAAGTTGTTGTTTCTTAAAGTATAGGGTTGTGATGCTTATATGAAAAAGTTTCAGCCTGATAAGCACAAACCTAAATCAGAAAAGTGCGTATTCATAGGATACCCAAAAGAAACTGTTGGGTACAGCTTCTATCACAGATCCGAAAGGCAATATATTTGTTGCTAAAGAGTGGATCCTTTCTAGAGAAGAAGTTTCTCTCGAAAGAAGTGAGTGGGAGGAATGTAGAACTTGATGAGGTAATAGTACCTTCTCCCAAATTGGAAAGTAGTTCATCACAGAAATCAGTTCTAGTGATCTCTACACCCATTAGTGAGGAATCTAATGATGATGATCATGAAACTTAGATCAAGTTACTACCAAACCTCGTAGGACAACCAGAGTATGGTCCGCACCAGAGTGGTACGGTAATCCTTTCTGGAAATCAGGTTACTAGACCATGACGAACCTACGAACTATGAGGAAGCGATGATGAGCCCAGATTCCGCGAAATGGCTTGAGGCCATGAAATCTGAGATGGGATCCATGTATGAGAATAAAGTATGGACTTTGATTAACTTGCCCGATGATCGGTGAGTCATTGAGAATATATGGATCTTCAAGACGAAGACGGACACTGATAGTAGTGTTACTATATACAAATCTCGAATTGTCACAAAATGTTTTCGACAAGTTCAAGGTGTTAACTATGATGAGATTTTCTCACTCGTATCGATGCTTAAAAGTCTGTCTGAATCATGTTAGCAGTTGCCACATTTTACGAAATCTGGCAAATGAATGTCAAAACTGCATTCCTTAATGGATTTCTTAAAGAAGAAGTTGTATATGATGCAACCAGAAGGTTTTGTAGAAACTAAAGGTGCTAACAAAGTGAGCAAGCTCCGGTGATCCATCTATGGATTGGTGCAAGCATCTCGGAGTTGGAATATATGCTTTGATAAAGTCATCAAAGCATATGGTTTTATGAAGACTTGTAGTGAAGCCTGTATTTACAAGAAAGTGAGTGGGAGCACTACAACATTTCTGATAAGTATATGTGAATGAC